AAAAAATAATCCAGCCACCAAGCCAGGAAACATGAAATTGCTACTCTACTCTTAATTTGTTTAGTAGTGGACGTGGTAGTGTTAGGTTAATGGTTGGACTGGATGATCTTAAAGGTCTTTTGCAACCTAAACGATTCTATAATTCTATGATTCTACTTTGGTAACATCACTAAACATAAGAAACTAAGAAATGTACTAACCGATCTTCAACAGCTGTAGCACCAAGTAAAATAAAATCCCTCTCTATCTTCTCATACACTTCTGCCAATTTCTTTTCCCGGTCCTGGAGGGCCAACTTTGCATTCTGAAGCAGCTTCTGTGCATTTCTATATTCTTCTGCTGTGAGCTTTTTATATGCAACGCACAATGTTCGCAGTCCCTCCTAAAGAATGCAATCAAAAAACCAAAATGCCTCTTAGAAAACTCTTCTTAGACTTCTTGCTGGTGTTTTTGCTGGAATGTATGAAAAATTGGAATGATTTTACAATTAACATGAAGAGTCCCGCTACTCACTTTTATAGTGAAGTGAGTATGGTATAGACTAGTACAGTATAGTCTAGACTAGAACATGGGTCAGCTTGATCCTGTGCTGCCCTGGAAGCAGTTACAACCTGAGGGACGAACCTCAGTCCTCCAGAAGAGAAACATCTCAGCCACCCAGCTGGATGAATGAGATTACCAGGGAAAGGAGAGTCAAGATAAAGGTTTCCTTCCCTATGTGTATAATTAGGCAGGATGAATCAGAATAAATAACAATAATATAAATAGTAGCTCTGCAGAGTCTGATTTTGATGGTGTGCTGCAGCAGAGAAAGGGACAAGGACAAAATATCTCAGAGAGTATTCAAAGTGAAAATCTAACTGTGCCATTTCGGTCAAATGAAAACTAAAATTTATTTGTGGGTACTTCAGACTAGATCAGACTTTTGAACTGTGTGATGAGTAAGAAAGGGAGTACATAGAGCGTATAAGGTGGGAAAAAGCTGCTACAACACAGAAAGGAAGTATTGCCACCTCAAATATATTGCCTCTCACAACACCATTTAACTGGCACTTTATCTTCATAAACTTTAATCCAGTATGTCTTTGTATAGTTACTTATTACCAACTCAAGAAGGAGAATTATTAAAAAATCTCCCTGATTCTTGCTACTGATAAGGGCACGTGCCAGGTGGCTGCCTGTATCTTCTTTCAGAAGCTTCTGCGTGTAGAAGCCAGACCTATTTCCAGTTATCCAGGATGAAGAAATAGCTCTTGATCTGGATTTCTCTCTTCACAGACATTGGATGGATATGGTATGTAAACACTTCTTTCAGTTTCACCAGCCTCCTTCACTTGTAATTACCAGACAGCTGTTTCATATAGTAAAGCTTAGCAAAGCACTTTGGCAAAGAGTTTTGAAGTTTCCCTTCAAAACAAAAGCAGGTAACACTGTAGGTATTTTTTCACATACACGTAATAATACTTTGTTTTCAGTTTGAGTACTGGATGCCAGCAAATTTTATCCTATTTATAAGACTGGCAGTCATATTCCATTGCAATGGGTTTTACATATTTTTGGCAGAATCCAGTATTTTACAACTCCAAATACCTTTTCACCTTTTAGGTAAAACCAAGTTCTCAATTTCTTTTAAAGATTATCAGGCAGTTCAAAGTTCATTTTTAGCAAGCTAAAATGTAAGTACAAGGATGACCACTGCACTGTTTCCCCATAAGAAGCACATCTGTTCCTACATTGTGCTCTAATGGATTTTCTCTTTTAAGAGCTTGTAAAGCAATCAAAGGCAGCAAATCACAATTGCTAAGTCTGAGGACTGAAAGCAGGGATGAGATTTTCAGTGAAGTGTTTCACTTTTCTTTCATTCAAAGGTTAATTCAAACCACCACAGTTGTGAAAATGCCATACTAAAAAGCTAATTGATGACCTCTGATATAACGTACCATTGTGCAGATCTAATGCATTCATATCTCACCACAACTGCCATTTGGAAGATGAGATGGAAGACAGATTGAATTAAGGGAGTAACACAGACTGCTACCCATACAGCCTGTGTGCACTTTGGCATAGAATAATCTCAGTGCCAGGGAAGACAAAACTGTTACCAGATCAAGCAGGATGTAAGGACACTTAATTTTTTTTTTTGACACTGATATCACGTGAACAGATCAACAAAATGGAATCTTACCACTGCATTGCGTTCAACTCTGGATCGTACTTGCTCAATTTTGCCTTCTTTAACTCTAGGAAATATGGAAGAATCTGCTCCCTTACAAAACAGAAATATATCACCTAAAAGAGACAGCATATGGAATTCAAAATGGCCAAATATATCTCTCTCCAAAAAAACATCCAAATTACTAAGTCTTCCAAAAGTTTTCTTCCAACTTTGCACTCATGCTGGTACCAGGTCCCCTCTTTTTTATAAAGAAAGACACACAGACTGTGATTAATACTTAACTCTTTGATAAACCTGAAATAAATTCAAGTGAAACAAAAACATCTAAGAAGAAACAGAATGTGACAGTCCTACCTGTTGAAGATTTAACAATTACACTCATTCGCCGTCTCACAGAATCAAAACTCAAAACCTCTAATAATTCAAACCTGAAACAGAAACAGAGTATTTTTTAAACAACTGTGCTTTTCCAGGTCACTAAACTGGTTATTATGACTTTGAGCATATCAAATAAAACATGACTTCTAACATGGAAAATTATGCTGAGTACTATGGAATATGGAACTAGTACAGAATGAAACAGCAGGTTTCAAATAACACATAGGAGAGGCCCTCAGCTCCTAATTACCTGAAACAGTTTGTATGCATGACGTTCATAAGTATCTTTGGATGTATAGTCAATATAATTTATTAAGCAGAAGACTAGAAACCTTGCAGTAGAGTACTATACTGCTTATAATGTAAGTAAATTCCTACCTATAATACCTAGGCATAGCCTTAGAACTTTAAGTGTGTAGATGCTTACACAGAAGTCTTTATTTAATATTTTTCTAATTTTGACTATTCCTATCTCCCAAAAATGCCCACCTAATTTCATGAATCTTGCTCAAGTGTTGACTGACAAGTTATTAAAGTGAAAAAACATTTCTTTTTACTGGTTTTATATTTGCCATTGTTTTTATGATTTGATTTTATCCCATGTTCCTTTCATTTGTAGGAGGAAAAATGAACACAAGCTCCTGTTGTACTGTTTAGGTTAATTCATCAGTTTATATACTTCTATCATTTAGTCTCTTTCCTATTTCCTTTTATCTAACAGAGCCCCCCCTTCTGCACAAACAGAAGCACCCTAATCATTAATCCCAATCTCTTCAGGATTCATCTGTTAATTGCTTATAAAATAGATCTGCTTATTTAATTAGATCATTCAGTTCTAAGTCCTTACAACAGCCCGGGATTCAAACCTATGCAAGACCACATTGTTTATTTCATTAAAAATTACAACAGATTCTAACAAGGAGCTGGATCAGGCCTATGTCTAACAAACTGTGATGTATTTTGGAGAAAATTCCTAATAATTATAGTTGTTTCATAAATCACCAAATTATACTGACTGCACTTCTTATGAATTGAGCCACAAAAGTCAGAAGTAACCTTTGGGAAAAATCCTCCATATTCCCCTAGAAGGGGGAAAAATAACAGCAGGGTTCCTGTATTTGTGTCCAAGAGTCCCTGTGTAGTTAACAGAACACACATGCAGGAAGACACAGATGTACAATAGCCTTAACCAGTAGGCATCTACAGAAGTGTAAGGTAACATTTTCAAAAGTATGTACATCTCATTAAACTGCTGTACTACTAAAATGTTATTGAAAATTTTACTCGAATTATGGTCTACAAGATTTATTCTACATGTCAAAGGAAAATGACAAAAAATCAGCACCTGCTTTAAATTTTCTTTGACCTAGCTATAAAAATTTATTCTATAGATATTACACTCCTGTAAATGATATGGATTATTTGTGAACAACAAATGGGCTACATACCATTTTCTATTAAGAAAATATTATTTATCATATAACAAAGGCAAAATACCCACAATTCCTAAAACTATTAGGAACTATTAGATTAGGTCATGAACCCCACACCACATCTTTGTTGTTATATTAATATTTCATATTGCATATACTGTCAAACTAACAAACTAAGTGAAAATACAGAACTACAGCATCTATTAAAATTATAAATATTAGTAGATCATTTACTTTTCTACTAAAATGTACAGTTTCTGACTTTTCTGAATTTAAAATTAAGGCATAGGGAAAGAATGATTTATTAAACATATCAGAAAAACTCAGTCTATTTTGTTATATATTTAACCACTCACTTCTCTATGTTATTTTCCCGATTTAAGATCTCCATAAAATTGTCCTTCAGTCTTAGATAGGTGTAACCAAGTCTGTAAAATGAAACACACATCAAGAGAATGAATACAGCAAATACATAATTATCCAGTTTAAGCATGTCATAAGGATTTAACACTGAGTTTCTCTTCTGGAAAAAAAAAAAAAACCAACCCAACCCAAACTGTTTTTATTTGACTTATAAATATGAATAATCATGACTGTATGTTAAGAAAATAATTAGCTCTAGATGATTTGGTGTTTGTTATTACGATTTTTGTGATGAAAACAATTTTGAACTTCAGTGATTAGATCTCTAGATTGAAAAGTAGAACACGTAATTACACACATACCTCTGTATTCCCTCAACTAAAGCAACTTCATCAGGTGATGATGAAATATATATACAAGACCTTCTTGAGAGCTGGTTTTTCTTCAACCCATCTACACTGTCATCATCTTTTACCTGAACAGTGTGGCAAAGGCAAAGAGCTCGGAAAAATAGTTCCTCTCTCTCCTAAAAAATGAAAGGAATGGTTGCCATTACGTGTGATCACTTTCAAGCATTCCTTTGAAAACTTTTCTTTTGGAAGGTTAGCAATGTCACTGATTACTACTATTTATTATCAGATAAAGGCAGTGTCACAGGTCACTTACCCTTTAGGGGGAGCCAAGTCCTTCCCAGTGGTAACCACACAACTGCTTAATAGCTGCCAGCGCTACTAGCATTGCCATGCAAGTCAAGCTGCTGATGCCCAAAAAAGACAGCATGCATCTTTTGCTTCCTCTGAGTGCCTAGATGCGGCTAAAGATTTTTTTTCTTTACTTTTGCTTAAACTTTAACAACCCATATTAAATACTAGTCAAGGTACAATTTTAGGACTCCCAAGTCCAGACAGAGGGATGCAGCACCTGGAGCACAAGTGTTAACAAGCCTTACAGATTTCAGTTTCTTACACTGCTTGAACACCTCTCAGAGCCATATAAAATAAAAGGAGTGTGGACATTTTGGCAGCTGGAGCCAACCAACTTCTGTAAAGTTTCAGATGGTTTGGTAATGACAGTTTCTGACACAGGAAAAGAGATTTCTATTTCACAGATACCTGGCTGTGTATCTTTGTGTCTGAATCTTATTCTTCTATGCTGTTCAATACAAACTGTGGCATTACAATTTCAAGATAAAAACACAGTGCACGTTGGGACCACATTCTGAGGGCCATAGGAGAGAGCCATAAGGCTGCTGAATTACACCAACATATTTTAAGAGGCCTTGTTTTGCCATAATGAAGGGTATAGCCAAAGTATGATTTGAGACTGTATTGATATATTTAAAATATATTGTCCTCTAGCTATGATTATTCTGCCCATTTACACCCTGCTCATCAATGGACATGTGAAGTCTCCTTAACTTTCAACTATGCTTTACACAACAAAAAAGCCATAGCACATACATGCTGTGTCTAGCACATTTCAGATGTGGTTATATTAAGTCACATTTAAAAGTAATTTAATTTGATCATAAACCATTCTCTGGCCACATCTTTATTCAGTGATGACTAAGTAAGTGTTTGCGTTGAGCACTCATTTTCCCCCTGGAGGAGTTTCCTGCCTTGCTTTCCCTATTGTAGCTAATGTTAAATGGAAACCAGCTATTACATTTCTTTTCTTTTTAGAACCAGAGAAAGTTCTACATTTTAGGGTTTTATTTAATGCAGTTTTACAGCTGCAGTAAGCTGGGAAAACTTCCTATTAAGCCTTTAAATCTTACTCTAAACTAGGAAAGGAAAATGTCTGTGTTGTGATGCATTTCCTGCCATTATCTACTTTGATTAGAGAAATTAAAGGATATTATATTTCTAATACTCCCTTCATCAACACAGTTCAGTTTTTCATGTTTCCTTGTAAAAAACCCGAGAACCTACAAAGAGTCATCATACCTTTCCACTTCCTCCTGGAGAAGAATCGATCATATCAATGCCTGTACAATCATGGAGAATTTGTCCGTTGCAGATAATGTGTGGTACATAAACATGCCCTTCAATGCAACATTCTACAAATTCCATGTTGTTCTCAGTTAACGTTCCTGTTTTATCTGTGAAGACATACTCAATCTGCAAATGAG